GCAAGCAGCATGGAAGCGAAACGAGGTAAAGCAGCTGCAAGACACTCAAAGTCCTCCTGCCTATCCTCAAGGACGTCCGTGCCAAGAACACACTCACCCCCGACGGACGGAGGACTGGCAGACTCAGACTCAGCAACTAGAGCAGTGGCGTAGTCTAGACGGCAGGCAGCAGCAAAGTCAAGCAGCTCAGCAACTAGAGCAGACGCAGCAGCAGACACAAACGAAGGGTCTGTGACAGCAGTGGCGAGGAGACGGGAGACAGTGGGACTGGCAGCACGAGCGCGGTCAGACACAGGGTCAGGGACCTCAGGAAGAGACGACGCAAGAGGAGCAGGCAGAGGGACACGTAGTGGAACAGAGGAAGGACGAAGGATCATAGCGTGCGTGCCGGGGGCAGGAGGAGGACGCGAACGAGGAGCGCGACGAGTAGTGCGAACAGGCGAGAGAGGACGAGACGCAGGCTCACGACGCTCTGTAAGACCGCCGGACTGCTCAGTGTAAGGAGAGGGAGCAGGCAGTGGGGAGGCGGGCTGTAACGGCGGCTGCGACTGGTCAGGGAGAGGACACAGGAAAGGAGGAGTAGGGCCGGTAGCGCGGTAGCGAGCGTCGCTAGCGCGAAGGTGGGAAACGAGGTCCTTGACTATGGCAAAGGCGGACAGCTCGAGGAACAGGTAGGGCAGAAGCACGGGGCCTAGAGCAGCAGTGGCAGGAGAGGAGTAGCGAGCGACTACAGCGTCGTACAGCGCCTGCGGTGTCCTGTACTGTCCGAAGTGAGCGCATTCAGTTAATGGCAGGTGGTTGCGAATGGCTAAGCGGGCAGCAGCGTCACGAGTAAGCCACTGTGAGCGAGTCGAGCTGTCAGCTGTGGCGGGAGGGGCAGTAGCAGCACCTGACACTAGGTCAAACAGCGAGACACTGTCCTTAGAATCGCTCAGTAGGTACAGCTGCAGGTCATCTAGCCACGTGTCAAACTGAACCGGTCTGCCCTCATGATCAAACGCGAGAACCCGAAGCGAAGCCATAGCTTTGCAGCACGCAGGATAGCAGGAGCAGCAGTAGCAGCAGCAGTAGCAGCTGTATCAGGAGCAGCAGTAGCAGCAGTAGCAGCTGTAGCAGTAGCAGCAGGGACAGTGGGGCAAGGGGCCGATTGGGAGCTAGGTACGGGTCGGGCGCGGGCTAGGGACGGGGCCGAGCGCGGGTTTGGTATGGGCCCGGGCGCTGGGCTAGGAACTGGGCCGGGCGCGGGGCTACACTGAACGAAATTATTGTCCTTATGCATTCGAAATGTATGATAACTTGCACCCAATTGGGGTCTAAACAAGTTTTGTAATAAACATATTGCGGCCAGGGTTCGCGATTGACAGTTACGAATTTGTGTAGGCTACCTATAGCCCCAAAAAAACCTCTTGCTCTAATGAGTTAGCTCTTCCCTCTCGACACCCCACACGGACAAATCTTTCCGAAATGTCCCGTGCCTTATTTCGTGCGCTATTAGATCTAGACTAGTTAGGTTCAGAGGAGATTACGGGCGGATACTACGATCTACGAGTAGCGCTAACACCCCCGCAGCATGAAGCGCCTTAGTGAGGAGAAACAGAAGCGCATCATGCAGCGAATTGCGGAGGGGCGTAGTTACCGCCAAATCGCGCAGGAGTTGGGAGTTTCAAAGTTTGCCGTCCATGACGAGGTCCTCCGCCACCTCGGTCCGAAAACGTTCGACGAGCTAGTGCCGTCCCCGGCGAAACCTGGTCGGCCGCGCAAGTTACCAGAGCAAATCGCGAGGATAGTTATAAGGTCGATAGTGTCTGGTGAATCGAAATCCGCCGAGGCCGCAGCGGGAATGATATCCTCTACGCACGGCATCAGTGTCACGGGCGCCACCGTGCGAAACACTCTCAAGCGGCACAGAGTTAGAGCGATAGAAAAGTCGTCGAAGCCTAGATTATCCGCGAAAAATGTCAAGGACCGCACGCAGTGGGCCAAGGACCATCAGCACTGGACGATCGACGACTGGAAACGCGTGGTGTGGAGCGACGAAACGAAGATCTGCCGGTTTAGTAGCGACGGCCGTAGTTGGGCCTGGATTAGGGAGGACTGTCACATGGAGCCGCACCATGTGAAACAGACCGTCAAACTGTCAGAATATTATGTTTCTCTAGTCTGCAGTGGGGTACTCTGTAGTGAGTACAACCCTGTTAAGGGTTTGCTATATGTATCCCAATGCTTTCTAGTGCAATCATCCTCACTCATTTCATTCTCGATTCTCACATGGTATAGAGCTGTTTTTCGATCCTTGGGCCCACCACTGAATTTTTTCCTACCCTAGGCGCGCGTCGCGCCTGCCCTTAACGGCCCTTCGCGGCCCCTCGTAAGGCCCTTCGCGGCCCCTCGTTAGGCCCCTTCGCGGCCCCTCGTAAGGCCCTTCGCGGCCCCTCGTTAGGCCCCTTCGCGGCCCCTCGTAAGGCCCCTCGTAAGGCCCCTTCGCGGCCCCTCGTACGGCCCCCCTTCGCGGCCCCTCGTTAGGCCCCTTCGCGGCCCTCTTGTAAGGCCCCTTTCGCGGCCCCCTCGTAAGGCCCCTTCGCGGCCCCTAGTGAGGCCCTTCGCGGCCCCGTCAGGCCCCGTTTGCGGCCCCGTCAGGCCCCGTACGGCCCCGTCAGGCCCCGTTTGCGGCCCCGTCAGGCCCCGTTTGCGGCCCCGTCAGGCCCTGTTTGCGGCCCCGTTCGGCCCCGTCAGGCCCCATTCGCGGCCCGTTAGGCCCCTTCGCGGCCCGCCCCGGCCCTGTCCCGGACCTGCCCCGACCCCGGCCCTGCCCCGACCCTGTCGCGGCCCGTTAGGTCCGTCGCGGCCCCCCTTCGCGGCCCGTTAGGCCCCTTCGCGGCCCGTTAGGCCCCTTCGCGGCCCGCCCCGGCCCTTCCTCGGCCCCGTCCCGGCCCTGTCCCGGACCTGCCCCGACCCAGGCCCCGCCCTCATGCCGGTCGTGGCGCACCAGGGGCCCGTGCACCGCCCCCCCCCCCTTTGCCCGTCGCCTTACGTGGCGACCCGGGGGGGGGGGGGGGGGGGGCGCACCTGGGGGGGCGCGCGTCGCCCCTTCTTCCGCCTGCTCTGGCACCCTGGGAGGCCGCGCGTCGGCCCCCGTACTCCTCCCCCCCCCCCCTCCCCCCCCGGGTGCAGCCGCCCCTGGAGCAGCCGCCCCTGGTGCAGCAGCCCCTGGAGCAGCCGCCTCTGGTGCAGCCGCCCCTGGTGCAGCCGCCCCTGGAGCAGCCGCCCCTGCTGCCCTGTGCGCCCCGTGCGCCCTGCTGCCCTCTGCACGCGCCATGCACAGCACCCCCCCCCCCCCCCCCCCCCCCCCCCCTGCTGCGGGTACAGCAGTGGGGGGAGGGGATTTGCCATCCCCCTGCTGCGGTTGCGGCAGTGGGGGGAGGGGACCTGCAGCACCAGCCCCCCCCCCTCCTCTCCGCCCTTTTCTCCTCTCCCTCCCCCTGCTGCACCCGCAGCAGTGGGGGAGGGTATGGGGGTGGCGGGTGTGGCCAACCCGCCAGCCCTGCTGCGCCCCGCGCGCCCTGCTGCCCTGTGCGCCCCGTGCGCCCTGCTGCCCTGCTGCCCTGTGCGCCCCGCGCGCCCTGCAGCCCTGTGCACCCCGCGCGCCCTGCTGCCCTGCTGCCCTGTGCGCCCCGTGCGCCCTGCTGCCCTCTGCACGCGCCATGCACAGCACCCCCCCCCCCCCCCGCCCCTTCTCCTCCATCCCCTGCTGCAGGTGCAGCAGTGGGGGAGGGTATGGGGGTGGCGGGTGTGTGGCATCCCCTGCTCCTCCTCGTACTCCGTCTCCCACTGCTGCAGCTGCCGCTGAGGGGGGTGGGTGTGTGTGAGTCGACGGAGTGGTGCTAGGGGGTGGAGTGTGAGTGAACCTAGGGGTGCAGCAGGGGGTGTGTGAATGGGGGGTGCGGCAGTAGAGGGAGGTTGGGTGGAGGTAGCCGTCGTGTTGCTAGCAGTGCCAGTAGTCCGGAGGTGCGCTTCCGGTAGCCCAGTGATGCCGCTGCGCCAGTCGCCCGTGGGTCCGTTGCTCCTGCCGCTCGTCTTAGCCGCGGAGCCAGTTACCCCTGTAGTCCGGAGGTGCGCCTCCGGTAGCCACAGTGCGCGCCGCTCCTGTTGCCCGTGTGTCTGCAGCTTCCGCCGTTGCCTCCTCTCTCCTCTCCTATTAGTCCAGCCTCCTCCTCCTCACTTGCCCTCTGTGATAGCCTCTAGCTTTGCTTATTTATTGTGAACTTTAAACTGTTACTTCTTGTACTTGTGCTCAGAATGTGTGGTGACATTGTGATCCACCCTGAGCTTGCTTTGCTTTGCTTGTTGTGCTGATCATACCCCACTTTGACTATGGGGGTGTGTCAGAATATTATGTTTCTCTAGTCTGCAGTGGGGTACTCTGTAGTGAGTACAACCCTGTTAAGGGTTTGCTATATGTATCCCAATGCTTTCTAGTGCAATCATCCTCACTCATTTCATTCTCGATTCTCACACAAACATGGCGGCGGCTCCATCATGATTTGGGGGTGCATGACATACAACGGCGGGGGTTTCATGTGCAAGATAGAGGGAAGAATGAACGGCGAGTTGTACCGTTCAATCCTGCAAGACGAGCTGCAGCAGACTATTAAGCATTACGAGTTGGATCCCGAGACCGTTGTGTTCCAGCATGACAATGACCCGAAGCATACATGCAAGATGGTCAAAACATACCTTGCCAAGCAGCCGTACTCTGTGCTCCCATGGCCAGCATCTAGTCCGGACCTCAACCCCATAGAACATCTGTGGGTTTACTTGAAGAAGCAGCTGCTTGCTTACCCCCGTCCACGTGGGCCTTCTCCCTTGACTACTCGCCCACCTCAAGGGTATATAACCACTATAGCCCCCCATCTTGCGGGTGGATAACCACTGTAACCCCCTATCTTGCAGGTATATAACCGCTGTAGCTTCTCACCTCCCGGGTACGCCCAGTGCATTTGATGCTGTACCTTACCAACCTGAACCCCCGTCCATCCCTTGTTTGTCACTCTATACTATACCAACACTCGTCTAGGCCACCCTTCCCTTCCTCCTCTCTGCCCGTTTTCATTCCGAACCTTCTCTGTAGCTTCTGCGCTCCGTTCCCCCCCCCCCCCTCTCCCCCCTACCGTCCCCAATCCCTTCCCCTTCATCAGCTCCTAGACGAGGCGCTGCCAGTGCTGGGGGTGGTGCAGCTGCTGCCATACGAGCAGCGGGACATGGAGGTGCCTTCTGACCCCTCCTGTCACTTGCCTCCCACATCCCTCACTCCCCGTGCATGCATCCCTCCTCACCACCTCCTAGACGAGGCGCTGCCAGTGCGCAGCTGCTGCCGTACGAGCAGCGAGACATGGAGGCGGTGCGGCGCCTGTCCCTCATTTCCCCTCGTTCCCACATTCCCCCACCCCACACACACTCCTTTCCCCCATCTCTGCATTGCATCACCAGCTCTTAGACGAAGCCCTACCTGTGCTGGGAGTGCAGCTGCTGCCATACGAGCAGAGGGACATGGAGGTGGCACGCCGCCTGTCCCTCATGGAGGCGTCGGCGCCCTTTGATGTCAGCCGCCTTGTGGACCTCTCCGAACACATCCTCCTCGACTGCCTCGCCTCCCAGGTGGGTCAACGCGGGTCAACGCAGGTCAACGGGGGTCAACGCGGGTCAACGTGAGTCAACTCACCTCGGCGCCCTTTGACGTGAGCCGCCTCGTGGACCTCTCCGAACAGATCCTGCTTGATTGCCTCGCCTCCGAGGTGCGTGTGGCGTGCCTGGTGGGTCAGTGTGAGTCAACGCGGGTCAACGGGAGTCAACTCAAGTCAAGTTGGCTGTTGCTACTCCCTCCTGGACTGCCCGGTCAGCAAGATACATGTGAAGCGCCCTATGTGCGAGCCCCCATGACTAATGGCTAGAGCCTGCCATCATCTATAGTGCATCTACAGCTTTGTCTCTGCTGCCTGCCTGTTGTCTTTGCTGGCTGACTAGTGGAAATTAGGGAGAGGAGAGCTCAGGGTGCTGGTTGTCTTGGCTGCCTTTCCGTGAATCTAATGGCCGTGAAGGCTCTCTTTCAACCCATCCATTGCACTTTTTGTGCCCGTTCCGGTCCTCACCTCCAGGTTCGGCCTCTGGTTCGGGAGCCGGGCCGCCTTGTGATCACACAGCAGCGGCTTTACTTCCAGGTGACAACTGGTGCAGGTGACGTCTGGTGCAGGTGATATCCATTGCAGGTGACATCTGGTGCAGATGACATCTGGTGCAGGTGATGTCTGGTGTAGGTGACATCTGGTGAGGTGACATCTGGTGCAGGTGATATCCTCACTGTGACTCAACTCCCTCTCCACTCGTCACCTTCCCCTTACCTCTCCCCTCTCCCCTCTCCCCTCTCCCCTCTCCCCTCTCCCCTCTCCGCTCTTCATCCCCTCTCCCCTCTTCATCCCCTCTCCCCTCTCCCCTATTCATCCCCTCTCCCCTCTCCTCTCTCCCCTCTCCCCTCTCCCCTCCCCCTCTCCCCTCTCCCCTCTCCCGTCTCCTCTCCTCCATCCATCGACAGCCGTTACTTGCCATTTTCAAGACAGTCCCCCCCTACTCTCCCACGTCTCTCCCCTCTTTTCCTTTCCCCACTCCCCTCCCCCCTCCCCCTTCTGACAGCCATTTCACACCAGCAGCAGTGTTTTCACCCTATGATGGATCCATCATAGTTTTCACCATCATAGTTTTCACCATCATAGTTTTCACCTCGCTTTATCCTCTATTTCTGTCCCCCAACCCCCCCACTCTCACAGCCATTACACGCAATTAGCAGTGAGAGTCCCCTCCGAATCTTCCCGCTGCCCCTGCTCCTCTCCGCTGCCCGCCGCCGCCACTCCCTGCGCCCCCGCGGCCTCGAAATCTTCTTCTCCTGCCCGGACCAATCGCAGCGTGCCAGCTCAGGAGGTGCAGGCGGAGGAGGTCTGGAGGGGGGAGGCGGCACTGGTGGGAGAGGAGGGGGGAGGGGGGGGGGCGGGGGGAGTGGGGGGATGTTATAGTCACAATAGGCTTGAATGTGCCTAAAACGAAAGATAGAGAGCACAGACGGATTTCTGCACAGCGGCTTCAAACGTTGATAGCGTTCTGCTCACAGCTGCAAATGACCTGATTCAAATTGGATCTGGAGCGTCTTTACGTCATCTACAATTAGCAATTTAGATTGCACGATTTGATAAAGAATTGACGACACAGCGTCGGTTTGAACAAACGGTACTATGGCAGCTACTATAGTCTTAGAACACAAGATAGGAAGAGTTACGAGTTGGGAATGACTCCCAGCTCCTACAAACCCCAAGAGCCGAGGTACAGTGATGTGGAACAGTGCCACACTGTCCCCAACCACGAAGGGTCTCGAAACTACCCTTCACTAGGGCCTACACCAAGTGAAATGTTACACTACACAAAGTAATGTAACTATCTTCAATATCTTGAGGTGTACCCTTTTTGGCGAGCTTCGAAATCACTTGAGGCTTGACACCAAGGCTCGGGTTCTTCATCACAAACTCATCCTTGAGTTCTTGATGGGTCTGCTGCACACACCTGCGACACGCCGAACGTTCGACACAGGACAAAATAGAAACCGCGCGCGAGACACAAACGACCGCGTAACACGCGTCTAGCGATAACTCGCTATTGACTCGACACACACACTCGACATCATGACTCAACATTCACACACAATTATAAGCATGAAATATATATTATCCCATGCCCTCATACCATTCCATACACACACACATTCACGCACACGGACAACAAGCCGAGTGCAAACCGTAGGGTTGCACCAACAAACTCCCCCTCGGATTGTTGGCCTTAGGATATGTTGCTCTCTCAGTTCAGAGCCATCCCAGCCAGCTTGCAACACTTGCAATGCTGCTGCTCCACCAGCCTCTTGGTCATCATGTCAGCCGGCTGCCCCGTGGTCTTCACGTAGCGCAACTCAACTTCACCCGCGGTTACCATGCTCCTCGTCCAATGCCAATTCACCCTCATGTGCTTCGTGAGTCCATGCAACACAGGGTTCTTAGCAAGAGCAATGGCACCCTGGCTGTCACAGTACAGTGGGGTAGGTCCTTGCTGCTCCTCCCCCAATTCAGCCAACAAACGCCGCTGCCACACAATCTCCCGTACGGCACGGAAGAGTGCCATGTACTCGGACTCCACCGAGCTCAAAGCTTGGTCAACCTGCTTCTTGCTCTCCCAAGCAGTTGGGCCTCCACCAACACAGCATATGAAGCCTCCCACACTTGTCATGTCCTCTGGTTCTGATGCATATGAAGCATCCGAGTAGGCGGTGAGGAACAAACGCCCGGGTTCAACACCATCCGCGCCCTTTTGGCGCCTTTGTGCCGCCGCCGAGTATTGCAGCCCAACGGTCGGTGTTTGGCCAAGATACTTGGCCACCCTCATTCCAGCTGCTACCTGCTCCTCATTAGGGCATTGCACAACCCTAGCCAGCTGCCCGGTAGCAAACGCGACGTCCGGTCGGGTGTTTACCGCCGCATACATGAGGCTGCCCACCAACGAGTGAAATCGGCGCCTCTCCTCTTCACCAACGCTCTCCTCCTCTGGTCCCTTCACACACTTGAACCCAGAGGGAAAGGGTGTAGCCACATGGCCTTCACTCTGCCCAAAGTTGGCAGCCAATGCCTCCAGGTACTTTCGTTGATGCACCCGCATGCACCGCTTCTCCACATCTCGTTCGATGTGGAGCCCAAGGTAGAAGCTCACGTCACCAAGGGCCTTGCACTTGAACTTGTCTTGAAGCTTCAGCATCACCTCCTTCACAAGGTCAGAAGAGGGTGAGAAAATGAGGATGTCATCCACATAAACCACCATGAAACTCCTCTGCTCCCCCTCGCCAAGCATGAACAAGGAGTGATCGGCCGTTGAGGGAGTGAAGCCGATCCCCTCCAACACTTCGCGCAGCTTCATGTACCATTGCCTAGGGGCCTGCTTCAGCCCATAGAGGGCCTTCTTCAGCTTCCACACTCTGCCACTACCATCATCAAACCCCTCTGGCTGCGCCATAAAAATCTCCTCCTCAAGGATGCCGTTAAGGAATGCCGTTACGATGTCCATTTGCTTTACTACCCATCCTTTGATGGCGGCTCCCGCGAATAGGGTTCGCAGCGTCGTCGGCTTCACCACAGGGGCAAACAGCTCCTTGAAGTCCACCTTCTCCTTCTGCTGGTACCCCTTGGCTACAAGCCTAGACTTGTAGCGCTCGATCTTGCCGTTGGCATCCGACTTGATTTTGAAGAGCCACTTGGACGTTATCGCCGTACGCCCCTCCGGTAGCTCCACCAATTCAAACGTGTCATTCTCCTCGATGCTCTTCAGCTCACTCTCCATGGCCTTCTTCCACTCCTCAGCATCACTACTCTCCAAAGCCTCCTTGAGAGTTGCTGGTTCTCCCGGCATCTCCACCAGAGAGAAGAACGCGAAGGCACACTCCTCGTAGTCACTCTCCTCGTCGTCTCCGACCATCATTGCCGCTCCGGCCAGGGCTGTCTTGCCCTGCTTTCCCGGCGCATCATAGGTCAGCCTATTAGGGGGTTGAACTCTCCTCTTCCCCCTTCCTTCCTCCTCAGCTGCAGGGACTTGAAGGCCTTGGCGTTGCTGCGGTGTGGCTCGAATCCGTGGAGCACTCGTAGTACGGGAAGGAAGTGACGGTGCACGCTCGCTCACTTGCTGCACCTCCTCCTCTTCTTCCTCTGCATCATTGGCCTCCTCTCCCCCATTCACAAGTGAGGATTGCCTTGTGGTTGTGCTGCCGCTGCTCAGTTCCAAAGGCAGCTCCACATGCTCCAAACCGGAACTCTTCACCTCCCCAAACCGCACGCCTATCTTCGCCTCATTCTCCGCCTTCCAATCCTTGTACATGAAGTTCTCCATGAACTTGCAGTCCCTGCTCACCAAGAACTTCTTGGTGAATGGGTCCCAAAGAAGCCATCCCTTGCTGTTTTGAGCCATGCCCAAGTGCACGGCCCACACCGCATTGGCACCAAGCTTGTTGTGCCGAAGATGCTTAGGCACGAGCGCCATGCACATGCACCCGAACACCCGAAGCATATCCACCTTTGGCTTCCTTCCTAGCCACTCCACATAGGGCACCCATTTGTCTGCTCCCACATGAGTCAAGGCTCTGTTCTTGGCCACACACGCGCTCCGCACCGCATCAGGCCAGAAATAGTCGGGTAGCCCGGCTTCAATGAGCAACCCGCGTGCCGCCTCCGTGATTGTGCGGTTCGCTCGCTCGGCGATGCCGTTCATTGCAGGGGAGTATGGCATGGTGAGGGAGTGCCGAATACCATTCTTCTTCAGCCACAACCCAAACTCCTTGCTCAGGAACTCTCCCCCTCGATCGGTGCGGATTGACTTGACTAGACGGTCTTGTTGCCGCTCCACCATCGGGAACCAATCCGTCTTCAACGTTTCAGCCACGTCGCTCTTCTTGGCCAGCACGTACACCCAAGTCATGCGGGTGTAGACGTCGACAATGGTGAGAAAATACTCAGCTCCAGCAGCTCCAAGCTTCAGGGGGCCCACCACGTCCATCACCACCTCATCAAGCGGTGCCTTTGCCGTTGCCTCCGAACTAGGGAACGGAAACCGGGTGAACTTGGCTTGAATGCACGTCGGGCAGCCAAGCACCTCATCGGGCTCCCCCTTCACACGTATGCCAGCAACCATCTCATTCTTCACTAGCTGCTGCAAGATGGGCAGGGCCACATGCCCCATGCGCCGATGCAAGGTGAGCCAATCACACTCCCCCGTAGCCGAAGTTGGATTGGAGAATGCCGCGCTCGCAATAGCGCCCCACATACTCTCTCCGTAGTCCTCCTCCGCTGCTGCCTCTGGGTTCTCCTCACCCTTTTGCTGCTCCTTGGTTGCTGCACCACTCTCCTTAGGTTCACTGAACTTGCTGGTCCCTCCAGGTTTGCTCTTCTTGAGCTCATTCTCCTTAGCGCGACCGTTCGCGCCATCGTCGCTACCGACCGCTCCATCCTTGGTGCTGATGCTTGCTGCCACTTGCCTCTCCTTAGGCATAGGGACCACTGGGATCTGCCACATCTCGTTGTAGACATCCCTGTCCTCATGAAGGTCCCACAGAATTCGATCGCCAAGCCTTGCGGTGTAGGTCTTGGCTCCCTTCGAGTTCGTGTCCATGCCGGCCTTTGCCAACCGCCGCACGGAAATCAGGTTTGCAGCAAGGCTGGGCACCCAAAGCACGTTCTTGAGGCCCACCATCTTCCCATCAGCACCCTTGAACATGGCCTTGCCCATGCCTTTCACCTCTGCTCGCTGCCCCAAAGCCGATGTGACATGCTTCACCGGTGACGGCTCGAGTTCGGTGAGCAAGTCCGGGCGAGGTGTCATGCTATAGGTAGCGCCACTATCAATCACCCAATAGTCCAGGGGGTGTAGGGTCACCTTCCCCACAGCTGCTGGCTCCTCAAAGCCTTCATCCTTCTCTGGACCAGCCGGTACTTGCGTCGACACGAAGTAGAATACACCCGGGTATCGATCGTCGCTCGGGTCCTTGTCGTTGTCTCCGCTCTTCATGTTTGCAGCTCTGCCACCGCGACCGCCACGGCCTCCACGGCCTCGTCCTCTCCCTCCTCCTGCTCCTCTACCCTCTTGGCCTTGAGCAGGGGTCCAACCATCAGGGAGTTTGTAGCACTCACGCCACATGTGTCCGCTCTTGTGGCAATAGTGACACTCGCCGTCGAATCGGCCGCGACCGCGTCCGTAGCTCGTCGTCGCTGCCGTAACCGCCACTCCTGCGGCCTCCGCCGAAGTTGCTGCCACCAAACCTTCCTCCCCCTCGTCCTCTGCCTCTTCCTCGACCATATCCACGGCCGATGCTCGCTGCCCCAGCGCCATCCGCACTCGCCAACTCACGGCGGCGGAAATCCTCTTGAAGGATAGCTCGCTTCACGTCTTCAAGCGAGAGGCGGGGCAAGTCGCGATTAAGGTTGATGATGAGCGAGGACCATGACTCTGGGAGTAAGGCCAGCATCTTGGTCTTCTTTTGGAGCTCACTGTAGTTCAAATCAGCTCCCTCAAGCCGCGTCAACAAGTCGAAGAATTTCTGCACCCCTTCTTCAACCGCTTCGTCTTCTTCAATTCGTAGTGCCGCCATTTGCCGTTCCAACACCACCGCTACCGCCGCTGTTGCAGGAGCATGTACACCCTTGAGAGCAGCCCATGCCTTTGGTCCTTTCTCTGGTTCACGCTGGAATGGCTTGATGTGACGGATCTGACTGCTCCCCAACGCTTGCCCAAGTAAGAGATAGCCTTGTGCGCTCTTCCGCACCCACGGGCTCTTCTCCGGGTCGTTCTCGGGGCGCTTCTCCGTTCCTTCCATCACCTCCAGCAGGTCATAGTGGTCAAATATGTTCTCCATCTTGAAGGACCATTCAGCAAAGTTGTCACCGTTGAACTTGTCAAGCCCAAACACCCTAGGCTCATCCCTAGGTGGGCCAAGACTTGGTTGCATGGGCGCCATGGCTGAATCACGGGGTTGGCCTTGAGCTTGAGCTTCTCCACTGCCACCAGCACCTCTGCCACCCCTTTCCTCAGGTCCAGACATTGTCGAAACTGCTCCAAGGGGCTCTGATACCACTTGTTATAGTCACAGTAGGCTTGAATGTGCCTAAAACGAAAGATAGAGAGCACAGACGGATTTCTGCACAGCGGCTTCAAACGTTGATAGCGTTCTGCTCACAGCTGCAAATGACTTGATTAAAATTGGATCTGGAGCGTCTTTACGTCGTCTACAATTAGCAATTTAGATTGCACGATTTGATAAAGAATTGACGACACAGCGTCGGTTTGAACGAACGGTACTATGGCAGCCACTATAGTCTTAGAACACAAGATAGGAAGAGTTACGAGTTGGGAATGACTCCCAGCTCCTACAAACCCCAAGAGCCGAGGTACAGTGATGTGGAACAGTGCCACACTGTCCCCAACCACGAAGGGTCTCGAAACTACCCTTCACTAGGGCCTACACCAAGTGAAATGTTACACTACACAAAGTAATGTAACTATCTTCAATATCTTGAGGTGTACCCTTTTTGGCGAGCTTCGAAATCACTTGAGGCTTGACACCAAGGCTCGGGTTCTTCATCACAAACTCATCCTTGAGTTCTTGATGGGTCTGCTGCACACACCTGCGACACGCCGAACGTTCGACACAGGACAAAATAGAAACCGCGCACGACAAAATAGAAACCGCGCGCGAGACACAAACGACCGCGTAACACGCGTCTAGCGATAACTCGCTATTGACTCGACACACACACTCGACACCATGACTCAACATTCACACACAATTATAAGCATGAAATATATATTATCCCATGCCCTCATACCATTCCATACACACACACATTCACGCACACGGACAACAAGCCGAGTGCAAACCGTAGGGTTGCACCAACAGGGGAGTGGGGGGGGCGGGGGGAGTGGGGGCGGAGGACCGTTGGGGGATGGCAGCAGTGTGTTCTTCGTGTTCAGCTCTCAGGGGGAGAGGGACCGAGCCGCTGCGCTGCTGCAGAAGCTGTTAGGGGTGAGTGAGAGAGTGAGTGTTTTTTAGCCTTGTTAGGGGTGAGTGAGAGAGTGTTTTTTAGCCTATCTCCAATCCCTGTCTTCAAATGCTTCATACCGTTCATGGTTTTCACCCTCTCTTTCTCACTCTCCTTTCTCCCGCTCTTCTCTTTCTTGCTTTCCTGTTTCTCACTCGTCATATACCCTCCTCCCACTTCCCTCCCTTCTATCCTATGTCTTCACTTCCCGTTTCTCTCTTCCCCCGTGTCTACCTCCCAACGGGCGTCAGGGTGTGTCCAGCCCAGCAGCAGCAGCAGCATCGCTGCTAGAGGCTCACTCGCATGCACTGCAGGCCGTCACAGGGCTGTGGCAGGTGGGGATGGGCCAGGTGGGGATGTGAAGTTTCAACGTGATTGTGTGGTGGTTGGGGCAGGTGCGGCGGTGGGGCAGTGGGCCAGTGGCTGGCACGGCTGGGGCAGGTGGGGCAGGTATGGATGGCATTTCAGCATCGTTGCTGAATTCTTTGCTCCCTCTCCTCTCCCCCATGCCTTGTTTCCCACACCCAATCGTTTTCCCACCCTCTCCCTCTTCCCCCCCTCCCTCCCACACCTTCCTTCCGCGTGACAGTTATCCACTTTTGAGACGTCTCAAAACTCCCACCTCTCCCTGTATATCCCTTCCCTCCCTCCCATCCCTGTCTCCTCATTTTCTCATTCACTTTTCATGAACCACCTCCCTTCCCCCTCCCTCTCCGCCCCTCCAGTCTAGCCCCAACTATCTCCTCCTCCTTAACCTCTCTCCCCTCACCTTCCATGCACTATCCCCACCCCACTGTCCCCTACCTCCTTCTCCACCCCCCAGACTGGCCGTGTATCCAACCGCGACTACCTGCTCTTCCTCAACCTGGCAGCGGGGCGCACCATGTGTGACTTGGCGCAGTGGCCTGTCATGCCCTGGGTGCTCGCGGACTACTCCAGCCACTGTCTCGATTTGAATGACCCAGCAACCTTCAGAGACCTCTCCAAGGTGAATGCCTGTCCGCCTGCCTGCCTAGGTGTGTGCCTGCTTGCCACAGCACGTGTGACTTGTTGCAGTGGCCCATCATGGTGCGCGCGGATTACACCACCCATTACCTTGATTTCCACGACCCCGCCACTTTCAGAGACCTCTCCAAGGTGAGTGCCCTGCCCGCCTGCCTGCCAGCCTGCCTTGGTGTGTGTGTGTGTGTGTGTGTGTGTGTGTGTGTGTGAGTGGGCGCAGTGGCCCGTCATGCCCTGAATGCCCATGGACTGTACCACCCGCTGCCTCAATCTGTACGATCCCGCCACTTTCAGAGACCTCTCCAAGGTGAGTGCCCTGCCTGCCTGCCCTCCCCACCTCTCTCCTTCATCCCCTCCCCACCTCTCTCCTTCATCCCCTCACCACCTCTCTCCTTCATCCCCTCACCGCCTCTCTCCTTCATCCCCTCACCACCTCTCTCCTTCATCCCCTCACCACCTCTCTCCATCCCCTCACCACCTCTCTCCTTCATCCTGACACCACCTCTCTCCTTCATCCCCTCACCACCTCTCTCCTTCATCCACTCACCACCTCTCTCCTTCATCCCCTCACCACCTCTCTCCTTCATCCCCTCACCACCTCTCTCCTTTATCCCCTCACCACCTCTCTCCTTCATCCCCTCACCACCTCTCTCCTTCATCCCTTCTCACCTATCTCGTTTACCCATTCTCACCTCTCTCTCTCCACCCATTCTCACCTATCTCCTTCACCCATTCTCATCTCTCTCCTTCTCCCCTTCTCATCTCTCTCCTTCACCCATTCTTACCTCTCTCCCTCATCCCGTCCCCACCTGTCTCTCCATTTACCCTTTCTCCTCTATCTCTCCCTCCCCACCTCCGCAGCCAGTGGGAGCACTCAATCCGGCACGCCTTGCGGAGTTCAGAGAGCGGTACGATGAGGTAAGGAGTGGTACATTGCGATAACGCGTGGTCCATTGAGTAAACGGGCAGTGCAGTGAGTGGACGAGCAACACAGTGAAGCAAGGATCGGATATCCCTTCATCATTCCCTTTCTCATCATTGCCACTTGTGCCGTCACCTCACATCTGTTTTTCTTTACCATGCTTGGTTTGCCACTCATCTCATCTCCGCCCCGTACCAACCCGCAACCCTCCCCGTCCCCCCCACACACGGCACAGGCCTCGGGATGGGAGTGGGTCAGACTACTGTGAACAGCATTGCTGTCTGTACCACTCGTTACATTCTTCCGAGTTCCGGGTCTCATAGGCTGTCCACTGCTCTTCCGGGATCACATGCACTCACACCCACTCACACCCACTACCCCTCTTCCCCTCCCGCACGAACACACACCAGATGCCTCGGGACAAGAGTGGATCAGAGCGCACCAAGCCTTTCCTCTACAGCACACACTACTCCACCCCTGGGTATGCTGGGCTGGGCCCTTTCTGCTGCTGTTGCATATGCTTATGAATCACCAGCGCCCTCCACTGCAGTCCAGGATACACTGGGCTTTTCGGCTTCACATTCCTTTATAATGATGACAGCCTCCTCTATGGTACACTGAAAGGGCCGGGTTTACCGTCACTGCTCTTTCGCTCACTCCTCTTTCGCTCACTGCTCTTTCGCTCCCTGCTCTTTCGCTCACTTCTCTTTTGCTCACTGCTCTTTCGCTCACTTATCTTTCGCTCACTGCTCTTTCGCTCACTGCTCTTTTGCTCACCGCTCTTTTGCTCACTGCTCTTTCACTCCCTGCTCTTTCGCTCACTGCTCTTTCGCTTACTGCTCTTTTGCTCACCACTCTTTCGCTCACTTCTCTTTCGCTCACTGCTCTTTCGCTCACTGCTCTTTCGCTCCCTGCTCTTTCGCTCACCGCTCTTTCGCTCCCTGCTCTTTCGCTCCCTGCTATTTCGCTCCCTGCTCTTTCGCTACCTGCTCTTCCGCTCCCTGCTCTTTCGCTCCCTGCTCTTTCGCTCCCTGCTCTTTTGCTCCGGGTGAACTGAACCCTTTCTGCTTTCGCCTTCCTTTGCATGCAACCACCGTCCAGCCATGCCATGTCTACTGCTGCATTGCATGTCCCCCGACCCTTGTATCCCCAATCCAACCCACATGTGTCACATGTGCCCCCGATGCATGCATGCAGCTATGTGCTCTACTGGCTCGTGCGCTCTGCACCGGCACACATGCTGCGGCTACAGGTGAGTCTCCCTCATCTCTCTCTCTCTCCACTCTGCACTTCACTCACTCCACACCACACTGTGGCTTCCACACTCACACACTCTGTGGAATCCTCACTTTGGCTTCCTCACTCTTACACAGTGTGAGTGAACTCCACACTCATTAGCAAAATCTTGGCCAACAGCTTTAACACGCACCGGACTTGCTGCAGGTGGTTAAAACCTCATGTTTCTCTGTTCTCCACTCCATCTCAGAATTCCATCCCTTTCCACCACAGCAACACCCCCACCTTCCCACACTCCCCCTGTTCCCTCCCTTTCCGTGTGAACAGTCGCTTTGACTCGCGGGGCGGCTGTTCACGGGCCTCCAGGAGCTGCAGGGCCACGTGTAGCGAGGTTGTTTTTGAGACGTCTCAAAAACAACCTCCAGGAGCTGCAGGGCGTTATTGAAAGCTTTCAGGAACTCCCTCGCTCTCCACCGCCCCGTACCCTCCTTCCCGCCCCTCCCTCCCTCTCCACATCAGCACGGCCGCGTTGACTTGCCAAACCGGATCTTCATGGGGCTGCAGGAGTCGCAGGCTTTAACTCCCTCCCTCTCTCAACCCCATCTCCGCTCCGCACCCCCTTGTTACCTGCACCACCCCCCCTCCCCATCAGAACGGTCGCTTTGACTCGCCAGACAGGCTGTTCTCGGGGCTGCAGGAGTCGTGGGAGAGTGTGCTGTCCAACGCCACCGACGTCAAGGAGCTCATCCCCCACTTCTTCTCGCTCCCAGCGCACTTCCTCCGCCTCCCGTGAGTGAGCTTGGGCGTGCCTGAGCCTTCCTCAGCCTTCAACTCCTTGATTTCATCCACACCTTTCCCCCCCTCCACCACCACCGCTGTGCACATTAACCTTTGCACTCGCACACAGGGCATGGCTACACTCTGTGTCTTTTTCGTGATTCAGTGTCCTATTTGCACCTTCAACCCCCCACCCTCTTTCCCGCACAACCACCTTCAGACCAGACCTCAATCTCGGCACGCGTCAGAACGGGGTCCCAATTGGTGATGTCGAGCTACCTCCTTGGTATGTGCTTCTGATTTCTGAGCACCTTACAAATCAACTCAAATGAGGCCTTGGTAGTTCATTTTGTGACACTAAGAATTTGCCATTCGTTGTAGAATATAAGGCATTGCATTGGGTCTTTGTGTGCCTTGCTTGCAGTATCCAATGCGCTTCCAACTGCTATGTGACCGCTCTTTTTGTTCTTGTTTTTGGTGCAATTCTGTTTCGAACGTGTAATACTTGTACACGCCTTCACTTGACAACTGCCCTTTTTCTCCTAATTAACTGCACCCTCCAAATTAACTGCACCCTCCAAATTAACTGCACCCTCCAAATTAACTGCACCCTCCAAATTAACTGCACCCTCCAAATTAACTGCACCCTCCAAATTAACTGCACCCTCCAAATTAACTGCACCCTCCAAATTAATTGCACCCTCCAAATTAACTGCACCCCCCAAATTAACTGCACCCTCCAAATTAACTGCACCCTCCAAATTAACTGCACCCTCCTAATTAACTGCACCCTCCAAATTAACTGCACCCTCCAAATTAACTGCACCCTAAAACCACCTCTCTACACCTCTCTCCACCACTGTACTCCTTCCCTCCACCCATTCTATTCTGCCAGGGCGAGGGATGCAGAGGATTTCATAGTTAAGCACGTGCAGGCTCTGGAGTGCGAGAGGGTGTCGGCGAATCTCCACCATTGGATCGATCTTATCTTTGGATACAAGCAGCGAGGCAAGGTGCTGCGCATGCTCTTTGATGATCATCTCATCATGCTTTGCTGTTGCTTTCTTTGCTGTTGCTTTCTTTGCTGTTGCTTTCTTTGCTGTCGCTCTCTCTGCTGCCACACTTTCTTTGCTATCATCTCCCATCCCTTACTGCACCTCACTCGCTCCCATCCCTCAACTCACTAATTGACCACCTTTGACTAAACAGTTTCGTAGCCTCACTCACTCTCATCCCTTACTGTTCGTCTCTTGCTCCCATCCCTCCATTGCTGTACCACGCACACACCAGGCAGCAGGCAGAGGAGGTGGACAATCTGTTCCATCCGCTCACCTATGAGGGTGCAATGGAGCTTGACTCGCTCAGCACTTTGTTTGTTATGCTTAACAGTTCTGTATCCTCACTGTCTCTCACTCCTGCCACTCACTGCACCTCCAACCCACCAGGCAGCAGGCAGAGGAGGCGGACAACCTCTTTCACCCGCTCACCTATGAGGGCGCAGTGGAGCTTGACTTGATTCCCTGACCACCATGTATCTAACACTCCTGCATCATCAATCACCCCCATCCCTCACTCACCAACCCACCAGAAAGCAGAGGAGGCGGACAATCTGTTCCTCGTGCTCACCTACGAGGGGGCAGTGGACCTCGACTCATTCACTGACCACCTTTGACTTATCTGTTTCATTATCCTCTCGCACTCCCTCACTCACTAATTCACCAGGCAGCAGAGGAGGCAGACAATCTCTTTCATCCGCTCACCTACGAGGGCGCAGTGGACCTCGACTCATTCACTGACCACCTTTGACTTATCTGTTTCATTATCCTCTCGCACTCCCTCACTCACTAATTCACCAGGCAGCAGAGGAGGCAGACAATCTCTTTCATCCGCTCACCTACGAGGGCGCAGTGGACCTCGACTCGCTCAGCAGCTTCGTGGAAAAGAGAGGCTTTGAGACCCAGGTGCGATTGACACCTCAGAAAGCACCTGACAAAGCATCTCCAGTTTCTGCCTTGTGTTTCATGTTCTTGCTAAGCGTTCTCAACTATGAACCGTCTGGCCCTCTTGCCGCCCACCTCCTGCCCCTCACTCACCCTGTTGCTCATGTTTCCCATAGTTTCTCAAATGCCCTTTTTATCAGATCAACGCGTTTGGCCAAGCGCTGTGGCATTTCTTCCTTCGTCCATCCCCACCGGCATTCTGAGTCGACTAAAAAACCACCCTAATCTTCCCCATCGTTCCCCATCATTCCCCATTGTTCCCCAAATGCTATTCAGATCAACGAGTTTGGCCAAACGCCTCGGCAGCTCTTCATCCATCCCCACCCGCAGCGCTCCCCACGTGCCACATCCAGCCTTGACTCGCTGCCCTCCTGTGACCCCTCCACTGCCGTGCACCTCCTCGTGCACCTCCTGCCTCTCCTGCCCTCCGCCGCTGCTGCTGATGCTGCTGCTGTTGATGTGCCTCCACTTTCCCGTTCTTCTCCCCCCCCCAATGCCCTTGACAGATCAACGAGTTTGGCCAAACGCCAAGGCAGCTCTTCATCCATCCCCACCTGCAGCGCTCCCCACGTGCCACATCCAGCCTTGACTCGCTGCCCTCCTGTGACCCCTCCACCTCTGTCCACCTCCTCATGCGTCTCCTGCCTCTCCTGCCCTCCGCCGCTGCTGCTGCTGGTGCTACTGCTGCTGATGTCACTGCTACTCCTGCTGCTGCTCCTGCTGCTACTGCTCCACCTGCTGTTGCTGGCAGTGGTGCTGGTGGCAGCACTGGTGTTGATTCGAGTGCTGTTGACTCCGATCGAGCCACCAGTGGTAGTGGTGGCACTGGTTCTGCTCTGGCCACCAGTGGGACTGATGCAGCTGGTGGTGCTTCTAGTCGTGATGCTTGCAGTGATGATGCCGCTGCTGCTGCCGCTGACACCGGATGGACCGCGGATGATGCAGCGGCGGTACCTGGAGCAGCAGCAGCAGCGAGTGTTTTGCGTACAGAGGTTGGAGATGTGTCAGCAGCACTGGCAGCAGGAGTAGAGTCAGCAGCACTGGGTGCTGCAGTGACAGGAGCAGGGGGAACAGCTACAGCTGGCATGATGAGGTTAGAGACAACTGAAGGAACGGCAACAGCAAGAGCAGATGCAGCAGTAGAAGGAGCAGCATCACTAGAGCCAGCAGCACCAGCACCGTCAACATCAGCTGCAGATATTACCAGTGTAATGCGCCAGGTCAGCACCACGTCAGACAGCACAGCTGACGAGGCTGATTGTGGAAGCAGCGAGACAGATGGCACAGGTGGCATGATGAGGAGTGGCGGAATGACAGCAGCAGAAGACGAGAGTGGGAGGCTGAAGGCACTGCTGCAGGGGACGGTGGGGCTGGGCAGTTTCAACGCCAGGCGAGTAGCACAGGGTAAGGGTGCCACAGCCGCTGCACGTGCTGCAAGTGCAGTGAGTGCGGTTAGTGCTGTGGGTGCTGTGGGTGCTGCAGGTAATGCAGCAGATATTGTCATAGGGCCGAGATCCACACCGGGGTTTGCAAGAGAAGCAGCGATGAGGGAGAGCGAGGAAATGGTGGCTCTAAGGGAGTGGCTGGGGGAGGTTGGTGTGGGGCGAGGACGGGAAGAGCCGCCTGTCTGCTCGCCTCCCTTCTCCCCTACTGCGCCCTTCCCTGCCTTTCATCCCTCACCTGTGGACCCGTGCTCTGGTGGTATTAGCACGGGTGAGAGTGAAGGGAGTGTCACGGGGGGTGGCAGCAGAAGCAGCATGGAAAGCAGCGGAGTGAGCAGTGCAGTGAGCAGCAACAAGAATGGCAAGGCGAGCAGAAGAGAAGGTGGCATAGGTAGCATTGAGACGAGCAGCAGCAACAGCGGTAGTGGGAGTGGGAGGAGGAGGGCGAGAGTGCGGAGGGTGAAGGCACATCGCGGAGCGGTGGTGGCAGTGGCACTGGCAGAACATGCAGAGTCACACGACTTGCTTCTCACCACTGCGGGCGCCGATGGCATGGTGAAGGTGAGGGAGGCTCTTAGTGTGTAAGTGGTGTGAGGTGGGTGAAGGCGCATTGGGGGGCGGTGGTGGCAGACTGGCAGTGGCCCTGGCAGAGCATACAGATTCATGCGACTTGCTGCTCACAATTGCAGGCGCTGATAGCATGGTGAAGGTTAGAGGGGGCTGATTGTGAAAATCCCATACTTGGGATAAGAGGTGAACTTAAGAGTTGGTATATTGAGGAAAGCAGTACAAATAGGGCATGCGGTGAGTGACCAAAGTTAGGGTTTCCCCCCACCATTATTGGCTGACCAACTAATGAGATGGGGACCCCAGCCCAATAACTGGGGTTGAACCAATAACTGGGGTTGAACCAATAACTGGGGTTGAACCAATAACTGGGGTTGAACCAATAATTGGGGTTGAACCAATAACTGGGGTTGAACCAATAACTGGGGTTGAACCAATAACTGGGGTTGAACCAATAACTGGGGTTGAACCAATAACTGGGGTTGAACCAATAACTGGGGTTGAACCAATAACTGGGGTTGAACCAATAACTGGGGTTGAACCAATAACTGGGGTTGAACCAATAACTGGGGTTGAACCAATAACTGGGGTTGAACCAATAACTGGGGTTGAACCAATAACTGGGGTTGAACCAATAACTAGGGGTTGAACCAATAACTGGGGTTGAACCAATAACTGGGGTTGAACCAATAACTGGGGTTGAACCAATAACTGGGGTTGAACCAATAACTGGGGTTGAACCAATAACTGGGGTTGAACCAATAACTGGGGTTGAACCAATAACTGGGGTTGAACCAATAACTGGGGTTGAACCAATAACTGGGGTTGAACCAATAACTGGGGTTGAACCAATAACTGGGGTTGAACCAATAACTGGGGTTGAACCAATAACTGGGGTTGAACCAATAACTGGGGTTGAACCAATAACTGGGGTTGAACCAATAACTGGAGGAGCCAAACATTGGAGGGTTTGGCCACCAATGTTGGCCCCCCAACAATGATTGTCGCATGGGTTGCTTGCGGGCCCCAACCTTGGTGGCCAAACAATGTTGGACGTCCTATTCAACGTGTACACCCATGATTTGGGTGTACACGAATAGGTCTACCCATATACATGCTGTGATCTAACACTGATGGCGTGATGGTGTGGTGATGGCACGGTGAAGGGAAAGTTGAGGTTGGGTTGCCGTGGCATGGAAGTGGTAGTTGAGGTTGGGTTGCCGTGGCATGGAAGTGGTAGTTGAGGTTGGGTTGCCGTGGCATGGAAGTGGTAGTTGAGGTTGGGTTGCCGTGGCATGGAAGTGGTAGTTGGGGTTGGGTTGCCGTGGCATGGAAGTGGTAGTTGAGGTTGGGTTGCCGTGGCATGGAAGTGGTAGTTGAGGTTGGGTTGCCGTGGCATGGAAGTGGTAGTTGAGGTTGGGTTGCCGTGGCATGGAAGTGGTAGTTGAGGTTGGGTTGCCGTGGCATGGAAGTGGTAGTTGAGGTTGGGTTGCCGTGGCATGGAAGTGGTAGTTGAGGTTGGGTTGCCGTGGCATGGAAGTGGTAGTTGAGGTTGGGTTGCCGTGGCATGGAAGTGGTAGTTGAGGTTGGGTTGCCGTGGCATGGAAGTGGTAGTTGAGGCTGGGTTGCCGTGGCATGGAAGTGGTAGTTGAGGTTGGGTTGCCGTGGCATGGAAGTGGTAGTTGAGGTTGGGTTGCCGTGGCATGGAAGTGGTAGTTGAGGTTGGGTTGCCGTGGCATGGAAGTGGTAGTTGAGGTTGGGTTGCCGTGGCATGGAAGTGGTAAGTGAGGTTGGGTTGCCGTGGCATGGAAGTGGTAGTTGAGGCTGGGTTGCCGTGGCATGGAAGTGGTTCGTGGAGGGTTGGTGATTGGGCTTGATGGCATGGTGAAGTGAAGTGAGCTCAGCTCATGTTTATGGCTCTCTGTAGCTCCCTCTCTCTCAGATTCTCTTCCATCCTCTCTCCCATCCTCCCCTCCCAACGTCTTCCTCTGAACCTCTGTCCCTGTAATCCGCCCTCCACCAATCAGGTCTTATCAGTGGAGTCGCAGCAGCAGCTGAGGTCAGCGCGAGTTGGCAGCCTCCCATTGGCCAGCATGGCGCTGCTGCCGCCCCTTCCCTCCCACTGCTACCCAGTTGAGATTCTCACCCCTTATAACGCTTCCCTCCTTTTGCCCTTTGTGATGTGTCTGTTGGTGTTCCCTCCCACTGCTCTCTCTACGCATGTTTCTTCTTGAATGTGCTTCTTGGTATGCTTTTCCCGTCCGGCCCTGTCCCATGTAACTGTTGTAATTTCATATCTTATACAACATACATAGGCTAGAATTAGATGTGTAGCACATTTATAAATTGGGGGGTTGTTTAGTGTACCCTCCAACCACATTTTGTGGTTGGTTGGGATTGGTCCTTAACTCAACCAATCCCAACCAACACACATTTGTGGTTGCTTGGGCCACAAGCAAGCTCACCCATTGGTCAACATATTGGCCAATCGGGTAAGCTTCCCTCTCATCTCTCTCTTGCTCATTGTTTGTACTAAAGGGCCTCTTGGCTCATTATTCAATTGATCAATTCTCTCCTTCAACATGGTATCATGAGCTAATGGCTCACGCCTTCATCCCTCGGTCCTTAGGCCACCCTCTCCTCCCCGTCCCTCAGATCTAGCTTTCTAGAACGGAACTGCCATCTCTTCGCGCGCCCTTTAGGCGCTGTCCTCCCTCCCCGCGCGCCCCATAAGGCGCAGCCCTCCAAGGCACTGCTCCACGCACGTCCAGATCTGCAACTCCAGCGCCCAGATCTGCAACTTCAGCGCCCAGATCTGACCTCCCAGCGCCCAGATCTGCCCTCCCAGCGCTCAGATCTGACCTCCCAGCGCCCAAATCTGCCCTCCCAGCGTCCAGATCTGCCCTCCCAGCGCCTTGATCCGCTCTCCTCGCGCTCGGATCTGCAATTCCAGCGTCCAGATCTACTCCTCCCACGCCCAGATCTACTCCTCCCGCGCCCAGAGCTACTCCTCCCGCGCCCAGATCTACTCCTCCTGCACCCAGATCTGCACATTTCGTTACCAGATCTGCATTCTACGCATCCAGATCTGCATTCCGCGTATCCAGATCTGCACTCAGCGCGACCAGATCTGCATTCCGCGCGACCAGATCTGCATTCCGGGCATCCAGATCTGCACTCCGCGCGACCAGATCTGCACTCAGCGCGACCAGATCTGCATTCCGCGCATCCAGATCTGCACTCCGCGCGACCAGATCTGCACTCAGCGCGACCAGATCTGCACTCCGCGCGACCAGATCTGCACTCAGCGCGACCAGATCTGCATTCCGCGCATCCAAATCTGGGCTCTGCGCGCCCAGATCTGCACACCTCGCGACCAGATCTGCACTTTCCGCGCCCAGATCCACTCCTCCCGCGCTCGGATCTGCCACAGGGCTGCCCTCCTCGTCCCTACCCACAGCAGCATCATCAGCGGCATCTGCAGCGACGCCAACAACAGCACCCTTCCCCCTGCCTCCCCCATAACATCGCTCCCCCCCTCCTCCTCCTCCACCTTCCCCCACCTTCCGCTCCTCCCTTCCTCCTCCCATCCTACGAGCAGCAGGTTCAGCAGCGGCAGCAGCGGCACCAGCAGCAGGACCAGCAGCGGCACCAGCAGCAGGACCAGCAGCGGCACCAGCAGCAGGACCAGCAGCGGCACCAGCACCGGGACCAGCAGCGGCACCAGCAGCAGGATCAGCAGCGGCACCAGCAGCAGGACCAGTAGCGGCACCAGCAGCAGGACCGGCAGCGGCACCAGCGGCAGGACCAGCAGCGGCACCAGTAGCAGGTTCAGCAGCGCCACCAGCAGCAATACCCTCGCCCCATCCTCCTCCTGCCCTTGTTTCCACCCACCCTCGTCTCTATGGCATCGTCGGATTCTTCTGTCGACCTTGCTACTGTTGATGCACTCGAGTTGCTACCCGACAACACTGCTGCTAATTGGCACTCCTACGCTCACTCGGTCGAGGTTCTCCTCTCCTCTGTTGTGATCAGCGGCTACAACCTTCGCTCGGTTGTCTTCCAGGAAGGTGGTGGACTTCAGCCCATGGCCCCCACCGCTCCCACTGGACCTGTCCCCACCCACCCTGGCGCCGAGCCCTCTCCCCCTGGTGATCCTCCCACCTTTGCACCGAATGTCAACGATCCGCAGAGCTCAGAGACCGCCATCCGCACCTACCGCACCAATCTCCAAGACCACCTGCGCCAGCAACTGCGTTACGAGGACGAGAAGCGCATTTATGACGACGCCGCTGCCCGCTACAGCAAGTACCAGGAGGACCTTGACACCTACACCGCAGACCTTGCCAACTACACCACGAAAATCACTGCCTGGCGAGTTGCCGATCGGCGCGCGCTTGCCATTCTTCTTGCCACCGTCCCCTCCTCCCTCAAACGCGAGCTCTCACCTACCTCCTCCTCCCACCTGTGGCGACTCCTCGTCGACCTCTTCGATCGGCAAGACGTTGCCACCCTCTACGCCCTCATCAAAGAATTCTGCACTCTCTCCATGGACTCCACTTCTGGAGCCGCTGCCTTCACTCGCTGTGTCCTAGACCTTGCTTTGCGCCTTGCGGCACTCGATGTGGTGTACCCGGACACTGTCATCTGCTGCCACCTCCTCGAGGGCCTCACACCTGTCTTCGACGCTCACAAGCTTGCCTACATGCAGCTTCTCTCCAAGCACCATACCCCTGCTGAAGTCGCTCAGTGGATTATCACCACCGAAGCCGAGATCCTTCGCCACTCTACCTCCACAGTCGCAGTAGCTCAGCCGCGCAGCAGCAGGGGTGGGCGTGGCAGTGGGCGTGGGGGTGGGCGTGATGGTGGGCGTGGGGGTGGACGAGGCGGATCACCGGGTCGCAGTGGCAGTGGTAGCGGTGGTGCGGGTCGCGGTGCGGCAGCTGCCTTTCCTCCCTGTCAGTACCTGCCTCGCTACGGTCCCACTCAGGGACAGCGCTGCGGCCAAACCACTCATG